TTTGAGTTTCGATAGAAGTTTAAGTTGCGATAAGAGAGGGACTACCTTAGTCGAATACAAGAAGGAAACCCTCTTGTAATCTCCTATTTAAGGAGCTGATTTTATTCAATAAAGGTATCGAAATTTCAGTCAAGAAAGAGAGCAAGGAGAGTTAGGTGATCTCTTGAACAAATCACCCCTCAGTTCGCCACCATAGGGTCAACTCGCAAAGGGAAGGGCAAGGAGTTTTCCCCACAAATCGCCCCGTGACGAGATCCTACGCCCAGGTCCATAACACCCGTTGGTCGGGCCAGGCTCGGGCTCGGGCCTAGTATATTTTCATTAGTGACAAGTGAAAGCCCGACCCGAGCCCGGCCTGGCCCGACCCATGAACAGGTCTAGTTTAAACTGAGTTTGAGCTGAATTCGAGCTTAATATATAAGGCTTGTTTGTTAATCGTTGAGCCTAGCTCGAGCTCAAGCCTAGTGAATCTTGGCTTGTGAGGCTCGCGAGCCTAATATTAAATAAATATTTTTTATTATACATATATGTATATAATAAATAATTTTATTCTAAATAAAAAAATTTTATTAATAATTTAATATAATATTTTTAGTTTTCATGTATAATAATAAATAAAAATAATTTTTATAATTCTTAATTTTTTGTCTAAAAATTAAAAAAAAAATAATTATATGTACTTTTATTTAAAAAAAAAAACTTGAGTTATCGAATTCGAACTTGCGAACTATGAACCGAGCCAAGCTCGAGATCAAATCTCTATCTCGAATCAAACAGATACTATTCATGAGAGCCGAGCTCGAATAGTCAATTATTCGGCTCGGCTCTTACTCATGGTGGTGGTGTCCACCCCAGAGATGGCTCGCCAGGTTCTTCAAGTACAAGATAACATCTTCTCCAACCGCCCGACCAACATCGCCGTTAGGTACTTGACCTACTACCGGTCGCGCATGGTCTTCGCTCACTACGGCCCCTTCTGGCGTCAGATGCGTAAGATCTTTGTCACGAAGGTGTTCAGCCGCAATCCGTACGCGAATAGGTTGACTCTGTTATTCGGACTGTAGCTGGGAAAGCCGGCTCCCCTGTCGACGTCGGTGAGCTGGCACTCTCGCTCATGACAAACATAACCTACCGAGCCGCTTTTGGGTCGGACATTCGTGAAGGCCAGGAGAAGTTCGTAGATATAATCCAGGAGCTCTCGAGGCACTTCGGGGCTTTCAACCTCGGCGACTTCATTCCTTGGCTTGGCCGGGTCGACTTGCAGGGGTTCAGCAAGAGACTCGCCAGGGCTCGGCGGTCCCTGGACGAGTTCATCGACAGAATCATCGACGCTCACTTGGCAAAGAGGAAGAACAGAGCCAATGAGACGGAGGAAGATAATGACATGGTAGATGATCTGCTTTCCTTTTATGATGAAGATGCGAAAAATGGTGAATCTGAAGATTTACAGGGATCCATCAACCTGATCAGAGATAACATCAAGGCCATTATCATGTTACATGAAGTGAAATTCAAAAGAAATTAAACGATTATTACTAAACAACAGATAATCAGATTATGTTCACGGTACATGAAGTGGAATTGAAAAGAAATTAAACGATTACTACTAAAAAACAGATTATCAGATTAGGTCGCTGATTTTGTCCAGAATTTGTGTATACAATAGGATGTGATGTTTGGTGGCACCGAAACTATTGCGTCGGTAATCGAGTGGGCCATGGCAGAGATGATCAGAAGCCCAGCGGACCTGTCGAGGGTGCAACAGGAACTCGTCGACGTGGTGGGTGTGGACAGAAGAGTTCAGGATTCGGATTTTGAGAAGCTAACGTTCCTTAGGCGTGCAATAAAAGAGACACTCCGGCTCCAGCCACCTGTGCCACTCCTCCAGCACGAGACGGCGGACGACGCCGATATCGGTGGCTACGCCATCCCGAAGCAAGCGCAGGTGGTGGTTAATGCTTGGGCGATCAACCGAGACCCGGAAGCCTGGGACGAACCGGAAACGTTTAAACCTTCGAGGTTTCTGAAGGAGGGAGCACCGGATTTCAAAGGAAGCAACTTCGAGTTCATACCTTTTTGCTCCGGCTGGCGTTCTTGCCCCGGTATGCAACTCGCACTGTACACGTTAGAGTTGGCAGTGGCTCATCTCCTTCATTGCTTTACGTGGGATCTACCCGATGGGATGAAACTCAGCGAGCTCGACATGAACGATGTTTTCGGACTCACCCTCCCTAGAGCTGAACGACTGGTTGCCATTCCAACTCCTAGCTTGCAATTTCCCCTGTTCTGACGACCTCTGGTTTTTCAGATAACCATGAATCAATTGTTCATGGTTATTGTAGATTAAAAACATAACAAGATAAAAATGTCATATTATATTAGGAAAAATGCTTGTCTCATACCCCGCCGTTTGAGGACATGCTAGGGGTGCCCAACCCGAGTCCGAACTGGCTCAGACCCAAATTTTACACGGGTTGGGATCGGGCCCAAGAAATCAGGTTTTTTATATTTCGGGCCTGGCCTGAGCCTAATCCTTAAGAAGTTTGAATTTGGCTCAAGCGCAGCCCAACTATATTCATATGTCTATGTTAATTTTGTATACATACATATATATATACATTTGTATACATATTTATTTATTTATATACATATTTTGCATACATATATACGTAAATATATGTATACATACATATATACACACACATACACATATATATATGTGTGTGTATGTATATATATGTATGTATGTATATATAATTTTAAAGTGGTTTCATCGACTAACCTAAGCTTGGCCTGGTCATGAGCCCAACCCAAGTGCATCAAATTACAGTGCAGGCTAGGCTCAGGTTGAAAAAATCAGGCTTAACTTCAGGCTCAGGACTCGGGCCTTAAACTAAAATTTTAGAATCAGGCCCGAATTGACCATAAACCTGCCCAATCTGCCTGACTTGCACCCCTAGTACATGGGTCCTAGCAAAAGACATTTATATAATAAATTTAAGGTTTAGGGTTAAAGTTTAAGGATTTAAGGATTTATCTTTAGGGTTTGAAGGATTTACATTTTAGATTAGAGTCCACTTTTGCTACGACGATGTACACTATGTCCCACACTTTGTTGAAACATAACTCAAAGGTATTGTCTTCGTGTCTTGAGTAGATTATGCATGATGGAATGCGTAAATGGCAACTTTTTAGTTACAACTCATAAAATTTGAAAATTTCCATAATATCCTCCACAAGACAATACTCAAAATATTTTTTGATCATTAACAAACCCTTTTAATTTATTATTTTATTTTAAACTACATGAACTACCTTTTACAATTTTCAATTATCAAATTGTTCCCTACTTTTTTATAAAGAATTTATTTTACCCATACTCATCCTAACCAATTTTATTCATAAAACAAATATATTCATCCATCCACATAGAGATAAGTCTTAGAGGAACATTGGGGAGATTTGATACTACATTTGAGGCTAAGATAGCATTAGCCCAAGGTATTAAGTCTTAGGGTTGGACCTAGGTTGATCCTCGGCCCAACCCAACCGGCCCAAGACTTATTGAGTCCAAAAAGAAGTTTTGAATCGAAGATTCTCTTGTTGATATTTTATTTTACCTTTTGTAATCAAATGAAGACTTTCATTGATACTAAGGGGGCCTTCTTTTTTTTGGATATTGAGAGGGGGAAAATTGCTCAATGGGATTTTGATTCCCATTGATCAAGAAATCCATATTCTTTTTTCAGTAGCGATGTAAATCTCTTCCATTTTCTTCATTTTTTCTTATTTTCTTTTGCTTTAAAAATATAAAAAGTAATTATTGCAAAATTTGATTGGATCAATAAAGTTCTACACTAGTTAGAGAGAGAGAGAGGGAAATATTAAAACAACATAATAAAGTAAAATATTAATAAATCAAATAATCTAAAAATAGAGGTTAAACAATCACACATAAAACAAAAAATATGAAAATATTATTTTAAAAATTATTAATTTAAAAATCCACTAAACTTCCACTTAAAAATAAAAACTATTAACCAAACTTAGTAAAAATTAAAATATATTTATCTTTTCTTTCCTTAAAATGTTAATTAAAAACATTTCAATTCCACTTAAAAATCAAACTTAATAAACACTAATAAAAATAAGAAATTTAAATACAACAAATATTAATTCATAGTTTTAATAATATTATGACATAAACATGGGTCAGATATATTGCATATAGAACCCGTGTTCTAATTTTGTATTTTGTTTTATTTATTCTTTTTATTATATTAGATAACTTTATATTAATGTATTTTTAATTAACTGATGATATTGTTAAAATTAATAATTTTTATGAGTCGAGACCTTTATTGTTTATAGTGCACATGCTTAGATAAGAGACTTATATAAAACAAAGGACCCAATATATATGATATAGAAATAAAAATAATGAAAATTAAAACTGTAGAACCTGTTTTATCACTCAGGCCAAGAAGACAAGCTAAACAGGTCTATGTTGACCCATTTTCAAAAATGGTTCCGGTTCATTTGAAAACCTGTAACGTGTGATACTGATACACGGTAGTGATACAACATATTTTAATGCATAAAATAATAATAATAATAATATATGAAAAATAATAAAATAAACAATTTGCATTTTATATAAAAATTGATTAAAATAATAAAACTTAGCCCAGATCTACATGAAGCCCAACCTAGCTAAACCTACAAATTTCTAGGCTCAAACAACTATTTTTTTCTAAGCTAGGTCTAACTTAGATCTATACCGAGCCCACACATAATGGAGGTAGTAGAGACTTATAAATTACTAAAATTAATAAAAATATTATATTTTAGCAAGTTTTATAACTTAGCCCAACCCAACCAGACCTATACATTTTCAAGCTCAAGCAATTATTTTCTTTTGAGCTAGGTCTTGCTCAGATTTGCACCAAGCCCATACATAATGTGGGTAGTAGAACTATAAATAGATTAAACTCAAATCATGTCCAGCTATATCCACATGAACATCGATTATGAAAATTTTAGATTTGTATCCACATCTGATTATTATGTTGGATTTCAAATTTTAAAGTATATATGTATAATAAATGCATATAAACATAAAATATTAAATTTATTAGTTATAAACTTTATATAATAACACATAATATTTATATGTATACATAAACTCTATTAATTATACTACATATATATAAAACAATAATTTTTATTAGGTGCTGATTTTAATCAAATTGGGTGGGGGTTAAATCCACATTTAATCGAATTATTAATTAGTTATATGCATATATGGTAAATATTATTATGTAATATTTAGGTAACACATTTAGGGCACGTTCGATATCACTGAACACTGATCTCTGAATGGTCACCGTACGCGTTTAGCGATTTTGTGACTGTTCGATTACTCTGATCGCTGAACATGACAAAGCGTTAAATGCAAAGTATGGTATGGACGATCAACGAACTTATTCGCTGACCGTTGGACGGTTTTACCCTTTTTGAACGTTAAAAGCATATGACCATTGGTAATAATATTATTAATTAATGAATAAATAATTATGTCTTAATAAATAATATTATTAACAACACATAATAATAATATTAATATCAATTCATTAATGACTAATTAGTACTTAATATTATTAACAATTAATAACCAATAATAATATTATATAGTTTTATACAGTATTTCATAATATTAATAATCAGTAATGCGTAAATTAATAATAATTGAAATTAATTAATAACAAAATTACTAGATATGAATAATTTTAATAAATAATTAATAATATTAGTTATTAATAATAGTCAATTAATAAATAATAATAATTATTATAATAATTTATTAATAATAATTAGAATAATTAATTAATTAATTAAGTAATAACAATGATACAAATAATTACTTAACAATGAATTAATAATTAATAATAAATTTAATATGATTTAATCATAATTAGTAATAAATAATAATTATTAAATATTAATTAGTAATAGTTAGCAATAATAATTGTTAATTACGAATAATAGTAATAATAATGAATTAATAAGAATAATTATTATTAATTAGTAATTTTTAATTATTAATTAGTAATAATTAGTGATAATAATAATTAATATTAATTCTTATTATTAATTAATAGTAATTAAAAATACGATTAATTAGTAATAATAATAATTATAATTAATTAATAGTAATTGTTAATAATATTAATTATTAATTAATAGTAATTATTAATATTAATAGTTATTATTATAACTAATTATTAATAATAATGAAAGTTCATTAATTATTTTTAGTAAAAGTAATAATTAATTATTAATAATTAGTAATAATAATGAAATAATAAGAATAAGTAATTGTTATTAATGAATTATAAAAATTTATTAATGACTTATTAATATTTTTTAATTAATTATTAACTAATATATTAATTGATTATTAATTGTATTATTTAGCAATAATTATTTATGAATAACTATTAATCATTATACTAATTTTCAATATTATTTTTTATTGAATTACATAAAAAACAAAAAAAATCTTAGATATAGGGTTAAAATGGACATTTCACAATTTTCAGAATTCAGAATTCAGAATTCAGAATTCAGAGTTTAGAACAACATTCTTTGCATTCAAAGTTCAGAGGAAAGAAAAATTCACCAATACCAATATACCTCTTAAAGTAATTATTGCACTTTTAGATGTCAGACTTCAAAGCAAACGAACAGGCCCTTAATATATATAAATATATATGCTATACTTTTTTAAATAAACCAAAATTAAATAAAAATTTTAGTTTGTAAAAAAAATAATAGTTTTATTATACTTAACACGAGTAAGGCCATGTCTTAGGTCCAAACAAATATTATTACACTTGAGGTGTGGGTCGGGCTAGGCCAGGCAACCGTAAAATCTATTAATACACTATCAAAATTTGCCCCAAGATCTTTTATTTATTTATTTTTTGGTTCATTGGGCTGCACATGGGGGTATCCCCCATAGCTCCTTCTGTTTAAATATTATCTAAAAATAGTTTAAAACCCAAAAATAATGCATGCATGGGTTGCACTAGGAGTGAGCATTGGTCAGTTTTGTTTAGTTCCATGGCAAAACTTGAACCTGCCCTATAGGGGTCGGTTTCAGGTTTTTGGAATCGAAACCTACCCTATGAAGGCTGGTTCTAAGGTCGGTTCCAGGGTCTACCTGTGGAACCTGTTCTTTCTTTACTCCCCCTTCAAAAAAATAATAAAAAAGGAAAAGAAAAGAAAAGAAAAGAAAAGAAAAGAAGAGAAAAGAAAAGAAGCATGCTCTTTAAAAACTTGATATTCAATAAATATAATATATAATTTAAAACTTATATTATCTTTATTGATTAATTTAGTAACTTAATATATAGATCATCACTATATGGTTCAAAACTTATGATTTAAATTTAAATTTTGTAAATATTACCTTTTACATTACTTATTGACACATTCAATTTAAATATTAAAATGAAAACAAATGATCAAATAACTTAAGTAACTAAATGTTCAAGTGAGACCATAGCCTTTGTAACCATGAGTGCTTGGGTTTATTTCAAGGCAAGTTCGGTTCCAAGGCAAGATCCACCAAGGCCAAACAAGGTTGGTTTGAGTAGGGTAAACTCCTAGACCCTGGAATCGACCTGAGTGGGGGTCGGTTCCAAGAATTTGGAATCAGACCCTACCTTGTAATAGATTGGATAGGGTTGGTTCAAGGCTGGTTCGAGGTTCGGATCCATTTGATTTCGGGTAGAACCTACCCATTTGCCAACCCATAGGTTGCACTCAGTTTGGTTTATCCAATTACGAGTATCGTAATGCATACAACTTAGGTGGGTTGGGTTAGGATGAGGATCAATCCAAGTCTAATCCAAAGTCTTAAACCTTGAGTTCGGGCTTAGATTAATTTAATTATGACTAAAAAAGTTAACTATAGATTAATTTAATTACAACTATAGCCTAATTTAATATATTTATTAACATTTAAGTATTGCAAATATTTGAGTGATATTTACAAAAAATTATAACATTTAATCATTAATGAAGTAAAATAAGTAAAATAGAACACAAACAAATAATATAAAAAAATAACCATTTTATTAAGTAATTAGCAATAATTTGTTATTTTTGTTAAAAACATTAAAATAAATAATCCAAATTACTAAATTACTAAATCGTTTTTGTAACAAATTATTAAAACAAAGGTTTAATTATTTTAAATAACATCACATTACTTCCATAATTATAAGTTTTGGTTATTTAACTTTTCCTTGATAAATTCCATGCATCACACGGGACTAATTTATTATAAAAAAGCCTAACCCTAAATCATAAAATTTTCTATAAAAAGCAAAATTAATTTAAGAAGGCAGAGAGATTATTATTAGGGTTGGTCATCATTATTAGTTTCAGGCTAAATTTATATCACGAATGGGAAGTTGGAAGCATCATCATTTATACCTAGTGCACGTTGGTGCTGACTGCCCTTCATTTTTGACTGTAGAAAGCATACCGCATCCTTATGCCTACCTGTTGTTCTAAGTATACATGATGGTATAGCTAGGTATTCAGTTCCATAATAAGATTGGTACATGTAAGAATAAGACCACCATTCAAGATTTAAGCCCAAAGACAATTAGTAGGATCACTTCCCGGATGTTACCACTTACCACATCCTAGGAAGTCACCTCTTATGTGGGCCATGTCCCCAAGTGTATACCGATCAAACAGTTCTCAACGTTGAGGTGCATGATGACTAAAACCATGGCCTAACAGTCCATCTGTTATGTGTTTGGAGTTTGGAGAGAGAGATAATATTATAAAACCGATTCGAAGCTGTTGGCTGGTTAATTCATGAAGCTCTTTCATGTAGGTATAGGTAGGGATGTGGTGTGAGACATTGTGGGGCGGAAATGTGAATTCATCTTATGTAACTTCTTCTGTTTTATTAAAAAATTTCTAATAATGGAAATAATTTTGCCTCTGGTTTTTGGGTTAATAATTCTCAACCGTTTAGTGCGAATGAATCAACCCGTGACATTATAAATATTTAAATGGATCAGCAATTGACTAATTAATTCAATGTATCGAGTCAGGTGTTAAATGGAAAGGAATAGGTAACCGGCTCTTGAATTGAGTGGTTCGACCATTCACCATGGACCCAATCCAATTAGCCAACAAGATGAGATTCGGACTCAAGAAACGAGGTTCACGAGGCTTGATTTATTGACCCTTTTACCCCTATGGCACTCATCCACGTAAGCAAAAAACCGTCAAAGATTTTAAAGAAAACACAACCAACACTCAACAGACATGATGTTCACATTAACCATTCACAACCCATGAGGCAGGCCAACTTGGAAAAGCAATAATATCCATTACACCCTCAAAATAGGAAAACGTAACTTACTCAAAGCATTATTATTATAAAGCGTAAAAACAAAAGAACCATAATAGATGGTGCAACATTGGAAATCGTGGGGGCAAAACAGTCCTTTTCTACGCATGCATTAACCCCATTAGCAGCTCCTCTAATACAAGAATTCGAGGCCCAACTAACGAGGCTCACCACCACACGGCGCACACGTCAATCAAATTACCAAATTTATCACCAGCCCCAACTTATCAATATCCATATGGGCAAAATATAGTGCATCAACCGTATTTGGCAAAAACTACAAATATAATTATCAAAAAGAAGTATATATAATTGTCAAAAAGGGTTATTAACTATTAAGGAAAGAATAAAATGATGTATAAAACAAGAGGGTGTCAAGAAAATTGTCAATTATACCCTCAATCCATCAAACCCATAATCCCATAAGCTCAGTTTAGAAGGAGTATAAATAGTTGTATTCTTTTCAAACTGTCATATGGGCAAAAGCGTCCAATACCTACTAAGGACAAGCTAGAATGCATTAGCCGGGAAAATAGATAAATGAAGAAAAAGGGTGTAAAAAATGATAGAGAGAGRGGGGGGGGGGGGAGGGGAAGAGGAACAGATTAATAAGTTGAAGCAAATAGCAGTAAAAAAAACAAAAGAGCATCAATGATGGGGTGGAGGTGATGATGGGGTGCGTCGGTTCGAGCCAATCCAACCATCATTGCGAATCTTGGGACGGCCGAGCCCACCATCATTTAGTAAAACCAAACCCTGCATAGAAAATTCCAAGAATACCCCATGGAATGACGAGAATGCCCCCACTGCAGCCACCATCATCACATGACGGCACCCATCCATCCACCTTCTCCACAGAGAGAGAGAGAGAAAGAGTCCTCTCAGTCCAGTCCTCACAAAGGCGCAAAGCCAGCGGCCATTTAGGCCAACCAGCCACAGCCATCATCATACAACATTAAATCTTCGCCCCTTCCGGCCGCCTTCCGTGCCTTGACATGCATGATTGATGGTGGCAGATGAACGGGGCAATGTCTCCTCCCCCACTACTCCCTTCCTCTATATATTCTTTCCAATTCCTCATCCCATACAATTCATCACTCACAACTCTTCCTTTCTCTTTCCTTCTCTTTTTCTACTAATTCTACTACACACAGCATTCCACGATCAAGGTCTCATCTTCTAAGTTCTAACCATCCCAAAAAGGTGATCTTTTCTCAAAAGCTAAAGAAGGACCCCACCCCTCTCTCTCTCTCTCTCTCTCTCTCTATCCTGCCTTCTAGTTTCCTCTCTCTTCTTGCTTTTTTCTTTCTTTTTGCATCAAGGTTACTTCTGTAGTGCTATGAAAGGATTTTGTTATTTTGGGTTCCTGTTTTTCTTCTATGTTTCTCCACACTCCACAACCAATTGCACGCCTTCACCTTTTTATGTTATCGTGGAGATATCGTTTTGAAAGAAAGCTTTAAGTGTGATCTCCATACGTGAGTTTCTGTTTGAGTGAATTGAATTGAGTCTGGGGTTTCTTTTCTTGGTTAGTTTTCTATTGTTTCTTTGTTGTGCATAGGCCCGCTTTGCTTTCCTTTTTCTAGGTATGGCAATGGAAGATCTTAGAACGACAAGTATAATGTTGGAAGCTTGGAATATTTTTCCACCCAATTGGGCTTCCTTTCTTTTTTCTTTCCTTTTCTTTTTTACGTTGGTTAAGTCCTTTTAACCTAGAACATCCAGCTTTTCTATCTCTGAGGCAAGAATTGCAATATACTTATGTTTGCAGAGGCTTAGCTTGGTTTTGAGCTTACACCCTGTTTTCTTACAAACTTTATTCTTTACTTCACCGTAAAGGGAGAAGTGTGCTTTAAAATCAGTGCAAGTCTGGAGGAGTGTCACCTCTTTTATTCTAACTCTCTGTTTTCAGGCAACTCTGTTTCATTTGCTACACCAACTTCTTTCCAACTCTGTTTTTACCCCTTACCATATATTCTTCTTTCGTGGAAGCCTATTGGGGTGTACTGTAACTGAGACTGTGCATTTCTGTTATTTGGTTGGTTATCTATTTTGCAATTGAAACATTTCAATTCTTCAAGTACTTGGTCATAGTTTGTTTGGGTTTAAATTGGATTTATTCATCTTCCTCTCTTAAAAGAATAAGCAGAGGGCCTTCTCTATTAAAGTTTGTTTGGATTCTGTAGTGTACTTATAAAATCAGTTTATTTCTTCAAGAGCTAGTGTAACAGTAGTTTTCTCTGTTTTTTCCCTGTAATAACAATGTAAAAGATACTCTCTTATATACTATTCTCTGTTTACTGTTTTGGTTACAGACACTTTGCATAGTCATGGAAAGGATCAACTCAAGGCTATACCTGCAGAACTGCTACATAATCCAAGAGAATGAGAGGCTAAGAAGGAAAGCTCAGCTTCTCAACCAGGAGAATCAGGCTCTGTTATCTGAGCTGAAGAAGCAGAAGCTGGCCAATGCAAACGCCAAACCCAGCCCAAGCCTTATCCCAGACCTCAACCTCAGTTCCACCTCCAGTCTGAATACAACTAATCCCAGCAAACCCTGATAGTCTCTGGTGGATGCTGTCATTCTGACCCCTTTTTTGTGTTGCGACATAGGAGTCAAAAAGGAATAGTAGATCCAGTTTCTAGTATCTTTTGCTCCACCAGAGTACTACTTATTACCTACCCGTCTCCTTCTAATTATGTCTTCTTTCTGAATTCTGGTGTTGAGCTGATGAAATGCAGACATATAAAGCTGTACCAGAGAGGCAAAAGGAATATAATATTTTTATATGGTCTTAAATTGAAGTTTCTGTTATCAGATTTTATTATCTTCTCTCTTTTACTTTTATCTTCTAATTACACTACACGTTTAAGATTGATTAAGTGGTTAAAACAAGGGCAACATCTCCATATATAACAGTCGAATTTCTATAGGGAATTAAGGAAAATGAATGATGGTTACATGGTTCCTGACATTGGAATCATTGAATCCAAACCATTCACTTGGTATCAATAGGAAATTTGGAACATATTGGCTACAAAATATTTTGAAATGAAGACAAAACCGACTACAGTGATCTGCAGCCCCTCAAATAGTCCTTTTTTCTCAATTTTTTCTTTGAAGCATGGGATCCAACATAGGTTTTTCTATGGAGATCGTGTCCACAGGAAGGAATGATGGGAAGATCTAATCAGAGGTAACATCACATATTCAGAGGAGTCAATGGAGGTCATCTTAGTTTGAAAAACAAAGAACTCAATCACTCATCACCATAATAAGGGCATCAGGATATGACGTGGTTTCAAACTCAGCTCCGACCATCATCAAAATCAATCTGACAAACATCATTTCAAATCTAACATATTTAGAACTTAAGCTCAAACAAGTCAAAGGAAAGGAAAGAAGAAAAGGCTGGCGGAAAGAGAGTCCCTATGACTATTAAGTGCCCCGTACGATATCCCAAAACCAACTCAATTCAAATTTTCATTAAAATGACTGATTGGCCCTTAGGTTTACATGCATGGTTCCTCAAGGAATAGGGTAAATTTTGGAAGAATTGTCCTGATGACTTCCGGGTCTTATAACTTGTCTTCAATGATGAAGCCACTAGTATAGACCAGGGAAGAAGTTGACAAGAGTTAAAATATATGATTATATTCTCTGTCTCCATATGAGGGAAATGTTTAGAATTCATAATTGTCTCAATAAGCTTCCAAATTTGAGCTTCTGATCATCTTGAAAACCCATAAACTGCTTTTTGACTATGGCTGCAATTTGGACTAGCGAATCTAAACCCAACTCCAAAAAATTAGGGTTGGGTTGAATTTCGGGTTAGGGTTGAAAAGTATGAATCTGATGTATTTATGCATGTAATTAAATACTTGTGTATATGCAGATTCATTATTCATGCATGTTTGTATATGCTTATATGTTTATGTATTTTGGGTTAAGAAGTTTTAGTTTATGTATACATATTTATCTACTTATGTATACATAATTGTATATGTTTATGTATTTTTTTAGTTACAAGTATACTTGTGTATACATATTTATCTATGTAAACATGTATGTATTTATATGTTAAGAAGTTTTCTGAAAGATGATACTGTTCTTTAACACATAAATGCTAATATTAAATTAACATAAACCCAATCTAAAAAATAAGTAAATTTGACTAAAGAAAATAGAGAAGTCCAGCCAACCCGATCCTAACCTAACCCCAGAATTTTGGAATTGGATTAGGGTTAGGGTTGACTTGCAGACCTATTTGTAACCCAAGTTCAAACCCATAAAGATCTTCAAAGAGTATCATTGGCCAATGACCGTGGAGTCTGTAAGACAAAAAATTTCTCATTTTAATTTCCCTCCACCACTCATAAGGAAAAATAAGGTAAAAGAGGCTTTCTCTACCATCAAACATCTTTTAAGTGTTTTATTATTATTATTATTATTATTATTATTATTATTATTATTAGGGTTAGGGTTAGAAATGTTTCTCAATTATGTAAGGCCCCATTTGGTTTGTGGGAATAGGGGTCTGGAATTGGAATCGGAATGGGTTATTCCGATTTCAATGGAACCGGAATCCCATTCCCATTCTTGTTGGAATGACATTCCCCCATTTGAAGGAATGGCCATTCCCTGCTCCTTTCTTGAAAATGAAATCTCATTCTTACTGATTCTAATTTTCATTCTCATTCCTGTCTGAAATAAACGATTCTAATTCCGATTTTAAAAGTTTTCGATTCTAATTCCAGATGTGAACCAAATGAACCCTAAGTTTCTGTTGACAGAAAAAGAAATCTTGACTGACGCATGGGATAAATTGTGGCTTGAGATTATGTATGCAACCATCTCAACAGTTGTGTTTTAACCTTTTTCTCCCCTTTTTTCTTTCCTTGTCCAAGGAACGAATAGAATATTTTAGATGGTTTCATCATACCGTTGAACAGTGGATCACCTGTCCAACTGCCCACATGTACAGAAGAGCTGTCTATTAAGAGTTATGACTCGGGCTTAAGACTACCAGTGGAAAACATGTAGAGACAGTCTTCAAAGAGTAAGACAAAAGGGGGTACTTGTGCATTGAAATCTGAGCAATGCCACAATCTACGGTACGGATACCAACACCTGAAGCATGGGGTCAACTGTTGATCCTTTTCCCTATCGTTTCTCACTATAAATTCCCACATCGAAATGAACAAGCTTGCGAATTATTACGGTTCCAAGCATCCCCACTAGCGCAATATGAAGATTTTGATCAGAAAATGAAATGAAAAAGAGAAAAAAAGCACAAAACTGCCAAGCCCAAGAGGGTCAAGATATTATGGGCTCAAGCTCAATCCAAAAGCAACTGGCTTGGATGGGCCCATTTGTTATACAAGACGGGGGTAGCATCTCTCCACAAGCCATTCAAACAAATATAATCTAAAGTCCAAGAGAGATTGCAAAGGTTAAGGGAAACATAACCATCGAAAGAAGAGTGAGATTTGTTCCCAAGTCAATCTGCTGCTTTGTTAGTTTCCTGAAGCACGTGTCTATACCCAAATCCTTTCTCATGTTTTTCTTTCAGCTGCAAGCAATCTTCTACAATATTTCTTAGGGTCCATGGAGAGAGAATCTGACCTTTGAGACAAGAAATGACGAACTTCGAATCCCCTTGGAGAATCTGTAAATTTTGATGCCAAATTGTGAGTTTCTCAAGCCGCCCAAGCTTCCGCTGCGTTGATACATGAAATTCCTAACGAGTATCCTTTTAGTCCAGAATCTTGCCCAAATAATCTTTCGCAATAGCAACCACAACACAATTTTCATTACTAGCGCGGGATGAACATAAATGATTCCTTAACTTTCATAAAACAGTCTGAGCTCAAAGTTGTATGGACCATACCACTAGAGCTTAAGATTTAGTCGGTATTCCTACTGAGACAGATAAGCACTGAGAATAATCAAAGCTTAAGATCGATTCATTTGGTCGTTTTATCTTGATTTACTAATATTAGAATGAGGTCAAGGATTTTACATGCTACTAACTTGGAAGCTTAAACGAATCCAAGATTTCTTCTTGTGCTACAGCTTTTAGAGTTGAAGTATCATTAATTGGAATCTGAGCGCTTTAGCTGTTCCACGTGCTGTGGAATCAATGATAAGGTTTCATGCCAGTATTAAATACATAGGACCCACATCTTTTACAATGGCCCAATGACTTTATTACTGGCGTGGAACCTCATCGTTGGTTCCACAGCCTATTAAATAGCTAAAGTGTTCAACTAAACCTTGCTCCGTTAATTGAGCTCAAGCCCAAATCTCAATCAGTTAACATTTAACAATCTCAATGTGTCAACCATTGTAACTGGTTTCACCTCCTTCAATTTTACTAAGTGGACTAGGACCATGTTTGGGAGTGCTTAAAAATAAGTGCTTATTTATGTCATTAAGCACTTATTGGTATTTGGGAAATAAGCCTGAAATAAATGCTTATTTTAAAAATAAGGACTTATTTTTTAAGCCCAAATTTTCAGCTTTTTTAAGTGCTTATACAATAAGCACTTATTCAACTTTTTTTATTTCAAAATTATCCTTAGTTGAATTTTAAAATACCACTTATTAAATTATCCCTAGTTGAATTTTCTAGAAGTATTTTTATGAAAGCACTTTCATAAAAGTGCTTTTGTAAAAGTGCTTTCAATAAAGTATTTTTATAAAAGTAATTTAATAAAAGTTCTTTCAAAGGATATATTTTGAAAATTTGAAAGAAAATGAAAGATAAAATAGTCACAAATGCTTATTTAAGCGCTTATTAGAGAAAAAGACTACCAAACACCCAATACAAAACAAGTGTTTATTTTAAAAAATAATCACTTGAAAAAGTTGGGTGCCAAATGCAAATAAGTGTTTATAAGCACTTATATTTAACTTAAGCACTCCCAAGCATGGCTTAGGATGGGTTTGAGAAAGGAAAACATATCTTTTACTCTTTTCTTGAGAGGTTATTATGTAGATTCTCGCAATGGAAACTTCCTGCATTGATCAAGCAAATATATATGCAGCTAGCCTAATGTATTGGACACTATACCTACTAATAGGTATTAGCTCAGTATTTCCAACTTTGTTTCTCAATCCCAAGGTTGTGTTTAGTTTGAAGAAAAAAAAATAGGGAAAGGAAGGGAAAGGTAGGAAAACCCTTACAAACCTTGTACACCTTTCCTTATGTTTCCCTTCCTTTCCTTGCATTTTCCTTCAAACCAAACATGGCCAAAGACATGAAACCATCCCTGGAAATAAAAGTTAGACTATATTATAGATCTATGGAAATTTAGATGAAAGAGGAATTGGTTGGAGATCGCATTGGCATCTCCCACAGGTGCCCCACGTGCACATGCTTGGGTGCATTGGAAACGAGATCACATCTCCACCCCACAGTACATCTCCGTCGTGTATTGGAAACATCTCCCGATGATGACATCATTGGGACTAGTACTATCACTGGAAGATATTCCCAATACATGGTGGGGATGTGCTGTGGGGCGTTGTGGGGCAGAGATGTAAACTCAATGGAAACATATTATTGAGAGATATTTCTAATACACGATTCAGATATGCTGTGGGGCGCGCTGTGTAGGGTGCCAATTGGTTGTCACCAATTTCTACAAGTTTCTAAACTATGCCGTTTAAGTGGCAGCACAGGATTCTTAAATTAGCAACTCTATGGCTATCAATTCCTTGTACGAAAATTCTAGTAAAGGGAATGCCATCAATAAGGAAATTTAGCATTTGGATGTTTCCCAAATTCTACTTATATCTTTATCTTTTTGACCATCAACAATAAATAGTAATTGAAGTAATAAGAGAGCATAAAGAACTGTATAATGACATAAAGATGGACAAGAAAAGAGGCATCCCAAAACTGTACAAACTAGGAGTCCACCTCTTACTAGAGTTCTCAAGTTCTCCAATGACTCCGGTGAAAATGCTCTACACTTGATTAATGTAATTCTACCAGATGGATTTCATTGTCCTATTTGGTACTTTCTTGCAGAGAGTAGTGTTGCCTATTTTAGTTGGGTGTTTGGGCATCCACATGTATAAGAAAGCTATCATCCAAATGAAGATAACCATCATACCCCATTTCACAATTTCACAAATGGAGTGGAGACAACCAAAATGATGCCAATGTTCGGTGGACTGTGCTGTGGATCCACACCTGGCCTCATCCAAAAGAAAAGGTGAGCAATTAAAAGCCTCAGTGGTCTAAATCCTCTAGGAAACTTGTAGGAAAGAAGACAAAAATAGATGAAATTGTAGGAAACTTGTAGGAAAGAAGACAAAAATAGATGAAATTGGGATCTCAGTTATTCTTTGAAAATTCATGAAGTTGTTAATTCTCCGTTATTCTTTGAATTTGGGATCTCAGTTTTTTCAATTCATTCTGGCATGTGTATTATCCAGATATGACAAGGACACATCTGGATATAGTATTGGAGATGAAATTTACACTAAAAATTGAAGTACCCAACGGCACCCTTGAACAGGTATCAGGTACCCAACCAAGAAAGACAAAATCTGTGTAAGAAACAGTGCCCTATCGGACTTTAAGCCCCACTCATCATTCCCATTTAGCAAATGAAATCTAACACCTACTAGTTGTCTTTTTGCATTAGCTGAACCAAAGGTAGAGGGTTGAAAAGATTGTAATCCATCACCATTTGCATTAGCTTTGCAATTCTCTAGTACTATATTTGCATAGTATGGGATTAAGAAACCTTGTCATTACAATCAGGTTATAGAATAAACAAGAATTTCTTAATGCAATACACTCTGTCAAGGATTTTACCTTGAATGTCCCGATATGCAGTGATATAGGTATATCTAAAGTAATAATTAAATATTATGTTGTAGTGCCTATTTGAAGAAACAAATAGTTTCTTCTACTCCTTCCAAGATGTCAATCAAATTATCCTTAATTACTCCACGCATGTAAGATAAAAAGATGTTGGCATGTTTCATAAAGAACTTCCTCCTCAAATAAAAGCATGTTCCCTAATTAACAAGAAAAGGAAGAAAAAAAAATAAGAATTCATCAATTACAATCAGTGGTTTAAAAACACTAGGCACAAGGGGAGACACATGCCTTTTTGAAGTATGATGCAAAATTTGTAAAAATAAAATGAAAAAGAACAAAATAAATAAGAATATAAAAAGTGCAAACTTTAATTTTAAACTAAATGTCAGAAAGCCTATTAGCTCAAATTAAAATACATAAACATAATATATAAAACACATTCAAAGTGAAAATGCAAAAGTAAAATTAGACAAATTCGAGCACTCAACAATTCAATAATGCCAAACTTTCAGTTTCTTTATTTCTTTCCTAATTGCATTACTTCGAATAGGTGATGTTAAATATCTTTCATTTCTAATTCTATGATCTACATAAGTACCAAGCCGCTTGAGGCAAGTCCAAACAAGTCCATGCTAGGGTCTTAAACTTTGCAATTTGTAGGAATGGCAATGGTGCTAGGCAGGTCCAGATTTTGCCTGCCCTTTACCTGACCTCGAATTCAAATTCCCTACCCCGAACCTCAACAGGACTAAAAATCCTAACCCCATCCCCGTCCCCACGGGGATTGCCCCGCCCCACCTTGGTCATTCTTACTTGTATACTTGTTAATTTATTTTTTATTTTTTTGAAACCTACCTAGAACTATTTTATATTATGTAATATAATATATTAATAATTATATATATTATGTTTTATAATATAGTCGGGGCAGGGTGGCCAAATACTGTCCCCAAACCCCAATCAATGGCCAAAAAACCTGCCCCGATTGGGGCGGGGCAGGGTGGGGCCCCATGGGAACGGGTGAAATTGCCATCTCTACAATTTGGTAATGGAAGGTGAAAGAGTTCAATTTAGTTGAGACGACAAAATTATTAGTATATCATCCTCATTGCTTCCTGCCAATAATTTCATGTTGGCAAAGACTGAGCAACCATTATTACTATGGGAATATGAATCAGTTCGAGGAGGATCCTATCACTGAAACACCTCCCACCAGATTCTGAACAGATCGCTTCTACAGAAACCACAGAGGTTCCAGATTCACAACTGCTCATGTGTTGCCAAATATTTTACATGAGCATGCAGTGCAAAAATAGAAAATAAAACCAGCAAATGTTCATTAAATTCAATAAAAGAAAATATTTTCTTTTCTTTTGTTTAAAAGATACCAACTTTAAAATATAGATTCCTTTGAACAGCAGATGCCATCTCTGTAGTTTAGAGTTGATCTTCAAGGTTAACTTGTGCCAGTTTCCCATTTTTTCTTTATTATATTCTATTTAACCTCTTCTATTATCTTTTCGTTGGCATTTGCATGAACCCAATACATAGTAAAGAAAAAATGATATAACTCTCTTAAAATAAAAGGAGTATTTTTCACTCCAAAGCTGGTCCAGCTATACTTTATTTGCTCTGCAACTTTAAATTTAAATGTGTTCTAATATTTATGTTAGATGATGCCAAGGAACAACAAACAACCTGGATCCAAAACAGAACATCTTCCAGAAGGCGAACTTTGCCCAATTTTTTTTTTTGATAAGGACAAATTTTCGGTAAAATAAAAGATAACAGATTACAGATGCTGGTGAAGAGATTTCACCCCTAGTAAGAGAACAATTACCAAAACAACAAAAAATGGAAAAAAAAACAGCAAAATCTACAATGAGCTACCTTAATCAGCCAGACTATATGAAATTTTAAGGTTTACCGTTCACAAGATTTGCTATAGTTATGGGGAAAAATCACACTGAACAACAAACACAATAGCGAAACACGCATTCACTGCCTAATTACCCATATAAATAATAAAAAACTTATTAAAAAAGAGGGTTCTATACCCAATGACAACTGCTTGCTTGTCTCCTATAATGAACAAAATCTGCTTAAGGCACTATTGGATATTGGGACATGATCATCTTCTCCATATCGTCACTACTACCTCTGAGTTCTTAATATTCATTTTCATTTACATCTTTTTTCGCCACTAAATCAAGAAACAATGCTATATCCATGTTGCTTTAATATATAATTTTAGGTTAGATTTCTAAGCTAAGAGCAAAAGATATAAACATGACTTGTGAGGATAAAACATGAGACAGAAAATTTCAACCACAGTTAAGACCTTTTAGTCCATCTAAACGAAATAGTCTTGCTGTAAAACATCAGAGTTTGAACTCCAAAGCCTGTCCTTCAAGATATGCTTTGCTAGCATGTTTAATACAAGATGAATTGCCTCTTTCTGAGGGTGGTCACTGTCTCCAACTAAAAATTCATGACTCTTACCATCTACCTCTATGATACTTGAGCCAGGGGCCTTTCTAATACCTTTCTCCTCCATCAGTTTCCTTATTCCAGTTACATGTTTCCATCTATCATTTGTTGCATATATGTTGGAGAGAAGAACGTAGACACCACTATCTTTGGATTCAAGATCAAGTAGGTTGTTTAAGATCTTTTGGGAAAGCTCAATTTCTCCATGGGCCTTGCAACCACTAAGGAGAGCTCCCCATATGAGTACATCAGGTGGCATTGGCATAGTCCTGATGAGTTCCTGCGCTTCATTCAAGAGTCCTGCTCGACCAAGCAAATCAACCATACATCCATAGTGTTCTATCCTTGGTGCGATGTTGTAGTCCCCACCAATCATTTGATAAAAGAATTTGCGGCCTTCATCAACTAAGCCAGAATGACAACAGGCAGTAAGAATGGCTAGAAATGTCACTTCATTAGGCCTCACTTTGATACGAACCATTTGCTCAAAATATTTGAGCACCTCCTTGCCATGACCATGCATGGCTAAGCCACCCAGCAATGCATTCCATGTAGAGACATTTCTATGCTGCATCTTATGAAAGATGTGCAATGCCATATCCATACACCCACACTTTGCATACATGTCAATCATCGCAGTTCCAACATGAGTATCACATTCAATGCCCTTACGTTCATTGTACTCATGGACCCATTTTCCAAAATCCAATGCTCCTAGACCTGCACAGGCAGTGAGCACACTAGATATGGTAACCTTATCAGGTTCGACACCTGACATTTGCATTGCACGAAAGACCTCCAATGCCTCCTTGGGGCACTGCCATTGGACTAATCCGCTTATCAGACTTGTCCAAGAAAAAATATCTCTTTCAGGAATCTCCTCAAATACTTTCTTTGCATCCCCCAGACGACCACACTTTGCATACATATCCAGAAGAGCATTTCCAACTACCAAAGGCATTTCAAATTCACCTCTGACAATCAACCCATGGATTGCCATACCCATACCCAGATCACCCAGCTGCCCACAAGCAACAAAAACACTAACTAGAGTCGCCATGTTCGGCTTCACATCCATCCTCGAAAACAAAGCCAGTGCATCACCACAAAGCCCTGTCCTCACATACCCAGAAATCAAAGCAGTCCAGGAGACAACATCTCTAACGGGCATTCCATCAAACAATTTGCTCGCACAATGGTATTCACCACAAAGTCCATAGAAATGCAGAAGCGAATTCTGGACGTATAGATCACTTAGAAAACCCATCTTAGCAACGACCCCATGAACCTGCTTACCCTCAACAATCCCCAAAACCTTGGAGCAGGATTTCAGAACCACGGGGAAAGTATACATATCAGGCAAAAACCCATTTCGTACAATCTTTCTATACACCAGAATTGCCGCCTGTGGCTTATTGCTTACGGCATAAGCTGACACCAATGAATTAAAAGCGAAAGAGCTCCGGTGGTAGTGAATTTGATTCAGGAACTCGCAGGCATACTCGAAATCAGCATAACTTGCAAAGAATGCAATGCTCTTGCCGAGTACTAGGACGTTTCCATCTTGGATGATGCCAGAGGTGACTAGTTGTGAATGAATTTGGTTGAACGATTTTAGACAGTTACATCTATCAATGAGATTAAGAAGGGCCCACTCCAGAGATCGTGGAGCCCTGTTCATGCTAAGCAAATCTGGCTTTCATGGGCTTGTGTATCACTATATCGTCTTCATTTACATCATATTCATCGTGTTCGTCGTTGTTGTTGGGTTCACTCGTTCATTACCAGAGAAGGTACGGGCCAGCGTGATTGGGTTCACTCACAAATGGGCGCCTCACAGGCACATCCATCGTGCATTAGGAGCATCCCCGTACATAGATGCTCCCAATCCATGGGAGGATGTGCGTGTGAAGTCGGTGTGAGGCGTCCTATGTTAGGAGCAGATCCAGTGTCGGGTGACTGTTGACTTGTTGCCATTTAACGCAAGATTGGAATCCTCCAACGGTTGAAAAGCATCCTGGCAGCACGCCCCCAGCCCCAGGACTTAATGGGCCCATAGTTTGTCACGTATGTTACGGTAATAGGATCAGGATCCACTCATCCACATCTACCATCTAAGGAATCTGATCATCCTGGAGATAATGGGGGTATTAATTTTGATGCACCACCTGTGCAAGTGAATCTAATTAGGGCTCTAGGTAGATCTGATCATGGGTCGGGTAACCCGATGGGCCGGCCAAGCTCAACCCGAATAAAGTAGGACTTGGACAGGATTTTAGGCCCATGGGTTTGAGCTTGGATCTAAAATATCGGGCCCAACTTTTTTGTGTCGGGTTTGGGATTTTTCGAAAAAGCTCAACCGAGTCCGAATTCGACTTGATGATGTATTATATATATATATATATAATTTTCTTTATACTTCTCTTTTTAACTAATAGTGAGATCTTTCATTTTTTTTTAGGTTTTAAGGTCTTTTGAAATAAATAAAATAGTTTTTAATTGAATAAAAAAAAGAAAAAATAAAATAGTTTCTAGTTGGGCTCGAGCTCGAGCCCAAGCTTTGGACTTTATATGAGGGCCGAGTTCGAGCTCAAGACCTAGGCCCGATGGTCAAGCTGAGCTAGGGCTTAGGATTGAGTATATTCTATTAATGTAGAGGCAAAGCCTGGCCTATAATCAGGTCTACTCTAGGGGTAGAGGGCTACAAAGGGATCGAACATAGGCATATCTAAATTTGATCTATTTATATAGCGGATTCGAATTGAAGTCAGATTATAATTGAATATTAAATAGTATAAATAAAGTAGACAAAAAATGATCAAAATATTATATATTATGAATTGAAAATTACTTGCATAAAACTTGAACTATAAAAATTTAGTGAAAATACAACATTGAGACCAACTTCAGTCATACATATAATACAATTTTAAGTATATATGAGCATATATATTTATATCGAATTTTATCGAATTGGATAGGGATAGATCCATATTTGATCCAATTATAAACGAATCGAATTTGGATCACCCTTAATAGGATTGAATTTAAATTCAAATTTAGAAGCAAGAGTGCAAAATTCCTAGGAGCAAGAGAACTTTAACAAAAGAAGAAGGGGATTATTTAGTTAGGGGAGAGTTCAACAATGCGGAAAATGAATTTGATGACTTAGAGGCATCTAGTATTGGCAACGTTTGTTTGAAAAATTGTAAGGAATCCTAAGAACTAGAGAGCTTCAATACGAAACTACTCCTTTTGGAGGAAGACGAGAGGGGAAGGGATGAAAGCATGATTGTGCTTACTAGATCTAAAGCTAGATTGAAGCTTCGTAGGGAAGAAGAGATTACTTATGTGACAAAACATGTGCTTGTGAAGATAGGAATGAACCTAGAGACTCAACAACCACAGGGTGTCCTAGTTGTGGTTTCAATTATTCTTCCAAGGAGTGTGAGGGTACCCTAGGGAAAGAATTCTTTAGTGGTCAAAGTCAACCATGTTTCCTTGAGAACCCTATTGGACCCTCAAATCCAGCCGGAAGAGATCTTTTGGGTATGTTTCAATTCAAAAGTCCCTATTCCCAACAACTGATTAGAACCTAACTTTCCAGCTATGTGTGTCATTTTGGTTAAGGCTACTAATAATCTCCCTGTGCTTGCAAATCCTACAGAGAACCAACCATGACCTATAGTTGGGTTAGAAGTGAAGGTGAACATAAAAAAAATGAAGAGAGAAGTACAAAGGAGATTGATTGTGAAGGGCAAGGGGAATGGATCTAGAACTTGGTGTGTGATTTTTTTTAAAGGACTTAGGGTCAATGAAGGTTATGTTGAAGAGAACACTAGTAATTCTATAGAGTTGGAAAGGCCTAATTGGGGTAGAGGCTGGGAGGGAGGGTGTAGAGAAGGAAAAGGAAGGAAAAAGGGAACCCATAAGTGAAGTTGCTGAATAGTTAGGTTGGAAGTTGAAGGAAGTCAAGAACCTTAATGTGTATGCTAAGAAATGGCCAATGGGGAATTCAAGGAAGAACATGATGACAGAGGTGGAAAGGTTGAGATCTGATGTAGAAGGTGATATTCAATTTAGTGCAAGAGGTAAAAGAAATATGGGTTTGAACTAATGTGAAGAGTAGTGAATTTTGTGAACAAAGGAGAAGAAAGAATTTTGTGAACAAAATGGAAGTTAATGGGGAAACCTTGACTAACCAAGAGGTAATTGCAAAGTATTTTGTGGACCATTTTAAAGAAATTTACAAAAGGGTGGATATTGAAATGTGGAAGGGTTAGATTGGCCAAGGCTAGATCTTGAAATGGTAAGATTGTTGGAAAGGGATTTTGATTTGGGAGAGATTAGGAATGATGTTTTTCAATGGATAAATCAAAAGTGCTAGTATAATGGCATTTTATGAAGATTGTTAAGAGATAATCAAGTTTGATCTATTAGCAATCTTTGAAGGATCTGGTGATGAACATTTCGTTACCCTAAAAGTAAATTATACTTTCCTATCCTTAATACCCAAAAAATTACTAACCGAGTTTTGATAGCTAATGAGTGTATGGAAAATTTTAAGGGAAGGAAGAGTAAAGCCTTTGTGTGTAAATTAGATCTAGAAAAAACTTATGATATGGTGGATTGAGTTTTCTTTCGGATATCTTGAAATGTTATGATTTTAGGGAATGATGGTGCGAATGGATTGAAAGATGTTTGAAAACATGTTGTTATTCGTTTTTAGTAAACAGTGTGGTGAGAGACATTTTTCCAACTACTCGGGGATTAAGATAAGGGGGTCATTTTTCCCCTTTCCTCTTTAATTTAATTGTAGATGTATTCAGTAAGTTTCTCATGAGGGCAGATAATATGAACTTGTTTAGAGAAAGGAAGATGGGCAGGAATAATGCACTAGTAACTTGCAGTTTGTACATAATATAATTAGATTTTAAGGGTGGGGATCCCAAAGAAGCAAGGTAGTTAAAAAGGGTTATTGAATTGTTTAAATACATTTTTAAACTAAAGATCAATTATTTTGAAAAGAGTTGTGTGGCTAGGATAAATCTTAAGTAGGAGAAATTGACTATCATAGAGCGGAGGCCCTAGGTTTTCCTACTACTTGTTAGCCTATGAGATATTTAGGTATGCCTCTAGAAGATAATTTAAGGAAAAGCAAGTTGTGGAATCCAATAGTAGAGAATTGTTTTAAGAGATTGATAGCTTAGAAGAAGAATTACATATCCTTTGGGGGTAGAATTACCTTAATAAAATCCACTTTAGCAAACTTGACAATTTATTATTTGTTAGTCTTTAAAATGCCACAAGGGGAAGTGAAAAAATAGAAAAGTTAATGAGGGATTTTTTATGAAAACTTGGTAAAGGGAGGATCACTTAATTAAATAGGAATTAGTGTGTAAAAGCAAAGAGTAAGGGGGTTTAGGGATAGGTAATTTAGGGAAGAAGAATTTGTCTTTGTCAAATTATTGTTGGAGAAGAGGAGACTTTAGCAAGAGGTTATTAATAGTATTCATAGAAGTGCAGGCAATGGTTGGGATGTTCGGGTATCTGCGACAACTTTGGCCTTCCCTTAGAAGTCCATGTGTAGAGTGCTTCTTCAATTTCTAAACTTTATCAGGTATGATGTTTGCTCTAAATATAAAGTTATCTTTTGAGAAGACCTTTGGATAGGCTACTCTACCTTTAAAGATTTCTTCTATTCTTTGTACACTCTTTCTTTGTCCAAAACAAAACTTGTCCACCAGATTGTATTTTCCTTGTTAATTAGGGTGAATTGGAACATGGGCCTAAAGAGAGATTTAATAGATCATGAGCTTGTTAGGGTAATCTCATTTCTATAAATCATTGATTTTGTTTTCTTGGATATCTCTAAACCAGATAGACAAGTTTGGACTCCCCATCCTAAGGGAGATTCCTCATGTGACTTTTTTTCTCTTCCTTGTGTCCATCCCCTACCCTACAACCTTGTCCTGTGAAAGAAATCTAGTCTAAACCCATTTAGGGCTTTGTGTTGCGAAGTAGAACTTTCATAGAAAATTAACACTTTTGTTGTCCTATAGAAAAAATACCTAATTTGCGTACCTCCCATCATTAGTGTAGTAAAGAAAATGGAGAAAATTGTTATCACCTTCTAATCTTCTACCCCTTTGTTATAAGTATATAAAAAAACATCTTTAGTCTCTTTGTTAATAGGTGAAGTGTGCCCCCACAGATTGGAAATCTCTTTGACCCTACAACTTTCAACTAACAAAGAGAAGAGGTAAAGTTATGTTTTGATTCTCAAACCTCTTAGTGCAATCATGTAATCTAAGAATGTGGGATCATGGCTTGATTTTCTTCTTTTTATTTAAATGACTATGAAGTGTGATAGATACTACCAATCAATTTTCACACGTGATATTATGAAATTAGCCAATTAGGATTGGTTTATTAGTTTTTTCTCTTTTTATTTTTTAAATGAAGATTTGTTTATTAAATGAAAAGTTTTTTTTTAACAGCTCAATTCTATCCATTTTATTATCTTGTATAAGATTTGCAATCTTATTGCAAAATATTCAGCATTAAATTCAAAATTTGAGAGACAGATACACTAGCATTTATAGTTCTCCTAATAGAGAGGAATTCATATCTTATTTTTTTTAGGTATGTCATCTCATTTTCATTCCAAACTATTTAGTTTTGTTCCTTAAAAAGAACTAACAAATTGTTAGTTTTATTCCTTAAAAAGAATCTTCCAACTTTGATTCTTAAATCTTAAAAGCAAACTACTAAACTGTTAGTTTTATTCCATAAAAGGATTTCTTAGGTCTGGTTCTTAAACTATTAAAAACAGTCTACCAAACTATTAGTTTTGCTCTTCAAAAGCATTTCTCAGGTCTAGTTTTGAAATTATTAAAAGTAGACTAT